AATGTAAAAGGGGAGCCAGGCAGGCTGGGCAGAGAGGGGTGGAGTTCTTTAAGCAGAAGTCAGAGGAGCTGTGGTAGGAAGGAACAGGTGCTTCATCCCTCCTGCAGAGTGCAGGGGAGCCAGTGTCTACCGTACCCTGGTACCGCCCTCCTCTCCGGCCCCAGGCTCTGACCTCCTCCCTTACTCTCATCTCCTACTTCTTTAAGAGGTCAAAAGCCAACAGGCCAATAAGCAACTAACTGCAAGACATCCAGAAGTGATGTCTACCAATCAACAGCAAGTAGAGTGCCTGGAACCACAGAGGCCTGGCCAGGTCCCGTAGTGAACAATGCTCTGGCAGGCTTCTCGTTACTCAGCTTCTGCGCCTGCTGCAGCCTGGGGAAGGAAGATGACACTGTCAGGACTTCCTGGCACTCTGGCCTAGGATCCTGAAGTAGGGGTCAAGTAAGGGGCTCACTGAGCATAAAATCCCTCACTGGTTCTTCTCAGAGATGCCTACCTTGTTTTGTACACTTACTAAAGCCAAAGGGCAGTAATTCCCCATCCTTCCCCTCTAGCCCAGAATTTTTAAGAGTTTCAAATGCCATGTCAATATCTGTTAGGTTACACAAATATCTTTAGGCAGGAATCAAGTAGTTACACTGATCAAGAAACTATGGAATCTTTGGTGCAAAACTTTTGGCATTTGCTGAGACTTGATGGAAGTAAAATCTGAAAACTGTCTTCATTCTAAGCTGATACAATATGCTGGATTTGCTTTCTTCAACACAACTGATCACAAAGAGCAAGACACAGTGTGCAGAGCTGCAGAAATGGAATCTACAAACATTATAGAAGAACAGAAAGCCATGTTACACAGACATAGGAATGTCCTGGAGCCAGAATCAGGAGTTCAAGCCCACACAGCTGACATTTAATATGGGATGACGTTATAGCTACTTTTTTAGGCCCAAAGTGTACCCTGGAGACAGTCTGTCCCTGTGTGTCCTCAAAGCAGACATTATAAAAGGAAGCCTTCACTTCTAAATGGAAATAGTGACCGTCAAATGTCCCCCCAAGCCAACAGGGGGAAAACCAACCCTGAAGGTTCTGATTCCCCCATAGACTGTATGCCTGCCTCTGGGAAGTGAGGAGGGAAGACTGTTCCATACAGTGAGACTGACTGTGACAAGGGAACAGCCTCAGAGAAGGACCTCAGGACCTGCTCAGCGGGCGTCTCTGAATGCACCAACTGGCCCTCTGGGGCTATGATACCGTGATCACCTTTGGTGCAGTCGCAATCAAGTGAATGCTTTCTGGACTCAGAAGCCCAAGAGCTTAAGGACCAGAAACCTGAACAAATGCAAAGGCGAAATCCTCAAACAGGATGTGGTATATTCTTGTCCTAACCCCTGGCACCTGGTAAGTGAAGGTTCCTGATATGTAACAAAAGCGTGTGTGTGTGTGTGTGTGTGTGTGTAGGGGGGCTTATCCGCACATGTGATTCAATTAGGATCTTGAGTGGGGAGATTGTCAGGGATTATCTGAGTGGGCCCTACATGCATGTATGTCCTTGGTAAGAGAGTAGAGGAAGATCTGGCACACACTGAACAGGAAGTGATGTGAAGATGGGACAGGGCAAGATTGAAAGATCCAGGCCTAGAAGTCCTGCAGCCTTAGCCAAGGAATGCGAGAGCCACAAAAAGCTGGAAGAGGAGAGGCCTGGGCTTCTCCCTAAGGATTCCAGGGGGAACAACCCTGCCAACACCTCAATTTTGTCCCACTGATAATGACTTCAGACTTTTGGGCTGTATCGTTGTGGAAGACCAACTTTCTATTGCTTTTTAGCACCGAGTTTGTGGTGGCATGTTATAGCTGCCAAGGAAACTAATACACAAGTCAGAATAATTTTCCCTGCCTTTTTCATTTAGCCAACACCCAGAAAAGAAGACCTAGAATGTGCTAGAGACTGTGCAGGGTGAAAAGGCTCGCAAGGTCCCAATGAAAGTTTCATTCACAAACAGAACCTCAAATGTGTTAGGAGGTAGGAAGGGTGCGGAAGACAGTGGTTGATGAGCCATAAAGGCCAGAGGAGGCCACATCAGGAGGCTTTGTGGGGCAGATGATGTTTGCCTCAGCCTTGAAGGGGAAGGCTGGGCTTCAGTGGTCGCAGGGGGAAGTGATCCAACCAAAAGCATGAGTCCTCGGTGTGCTGAGGACTAGTGGACGGTCAGCAACAGCAAAGGCCGGGACAGAAAGCCAGAAAGACAAGCCGGGGCCAGGCCGCAGCGATGCCTGAGGGGCAGGCCCAGGGCCCCAGTCTGCTGAAAGGAAGCCTTCTCCGTGCTGGAGTAGTATCTGCAAAGACGGTGTGCACAGGTCACCCAAGAAACAAGAATTGAGAAATACGCTGGAAGAAAGCGTCCCAGAGACATGAAAACACTGGCTTGGATGCTGAAGATGCTGCTGAGATCAGATTCCCAGCCCTGGCCTTGGCTGGGCTCTGGGTCGGGGGAGAGAAGACAAAGCAAGGGACCATAGAGAGGGAAAAGACAGTGGTGCAGGGGAGATGCAAAGAAAGAAAGGAGCAGAGAGAGAAGGAAGTCAGGGGCTCTTGGGCAGCAGAATTCCCTGCCAAATTTCTTGTTTTCTTCCTTCCACACTGTGCAGCCTCCCTCTGTGCCAGGGGACAGAGTCCCAGGGGGCCTTGTGGTTGCTCCTGTCCAGCTGCTGCCAGCAGACTTGATTAGGCTGTGCCCTTGCTCAGACTCGTGATTCCCGCTGCCACCGTTACTGGACAAGGAGAGGCCACCCGTGCCTGCTGGGAGTTTGGGCAGCCCACAGCCATTTGTATGTGGAGCCTGGTAATTAAGGTTGGAGAAATCACAGCCTTAGGGCAGGAGGGTAGGCTCTGTTCGGATAACCTTGAGGAAGTTCAACTGATACTCTAAACCTGGCCTCCTGGAGGTCTGCAGCAGGAAGCTGAGGGGGCCCCAGCTTCACCTACTAATGTGCCCTTGGAATAGTGTCTGGTGCTACTGCTGCCTCCCCTTCTACTGTCACCGGGCAGCAAGAGTTGATGGACTCAGAGAGCACACAGGCAGCACAGCACGAAGCAAGGACCTGACTGGGGTCAAGTCCTCGCCTGCAAGCTGTGAAGCATTGGGCAGTTAGTTCCCTGACCTCTCTGCATCTTAGACCTTTTGAGATATGGGACTGAGATCAGTATTGAGCTTGTCCATAGAGCTGTTACATAAGAGGTTCTAGGGAAAGCACTTTGCATTCTAGGAAAAGCTACATAAATGCGAGGGGTCACCCAAGGCTATGGAATGAGATCCATTCTGACTCACTAAGGGTTGGGAAGGGAGAAGAGGGGTGGTGGTGTGTGGCTGAGGAAGATGATGTGTGACCCCCTTCCCTCTGACTGCCTTGTGCACAATATTCCCCTGGGACCTGCCACGGACACATCCTCGAAGCTGCGGAAAAGGCAGGCAGGCCTCCATGGCACTGGCAAGGCCTAGGGCAAGAGCATACACACCGGCCGCTTCCCATATGTCTCATATCTAAAAGTCATAAATCAAGCTAACAAACCGTTAAATGAAATATGCGCCATCCTCCTACCTTGTTAAATCCATCTTTGACACAACTTGGAGGATTGGGATGGAATTTAGAATTCTGGGACTCTTTGGTGTTCTATGCTAGGCTGTGCTGCCTGGGGACAACCCACCCCGAACATGATCTGACCACTATCCCCACCCCAGCTCCACTGACTACCATGCAGAGACATGCATGCCTGTGGGGTACCCACCCCTCCCATCTCAGCTCTGTTCACATCCTCACAAGAAGCCAGGCCCTGGCCCAGGGGCGCACACACGGTAACATGGGCTACCTGGACGAGGGTGACCCTGGAGGAAGGTTCAGCTTGGAAGAGGTTCAGCTTGCCCAGAATTGGTGTCCAGGGTGGCTGGAAGGAGGATTGTAGGCATGTCCCCTTGGGCCTGCAGGCTCTCTCTGGTCCTTGGGATAAGGGGGGACACTAATTACCCCAGCAGAGCCAGGGAAGGGCCCTCTAAGGAGTAGTTCCCAGAAGAGTGGTCTCTCTTGCCTGGTTCTATCTGGCTCCTTTATGGTGGCCCTTCCTCCTCCTTCCTGAGAGACTCGGGCAAATTGCAGGCCCTCCTTCTCAGAGCTGTTATGAGGCTCCAAAAGAGGACGTGGGTGGAGCCAGGGAAAGTGTCCTCAGAGAGGAGCAGGCCTGAGAGCCCTCAGGCACTGGAAAGTGTGACATGGTCCCCTCAAAGGACACCAAACAAGAGGCAACCCTGCCCTGTAGAGGAGGTGGAACGACACCCAGCAGACGATTGATCCTTCTTGATTTAAAAAAAAAAAATCTTTCAAAATAAGATACTTTGAGCAATGCTGCTATATTAATCCCCTTAACACACAGAAATCCAGGACCACGTGCATTGCCTTGTCCCCACCATGCAGGGGACACCATGGTGGCCCCTTTCTAAATGTCTTAAAACTGATACTTCGCCACCTGGAGGGAATTGGGTTTCAGTGATGCTTAGTTTAGAACCAAGTGACAAACTCACCACCTTCCACCCTGCCTGTCTTAAACACAGGAATGAGGTGGCCCAACGCCCCTTGGGGCTTCTGCAGGTTTGAGTTGCACATGAGGAAGAAGGGCAGGAGGAGGGGAGCAGGGGAAGGGGGACACTGGTGACACCTCCCCTGCAAGCTGGCCGTGCACCTCTCTGTGTTCCAACTCCATGTGGCCAGCAAGGGGCTGCTTGAGTGACAGCCCGGGACCCCTCCCTGATGTCCTCCCCAGTGGTGTCATCGCTGCTGTCCAGGTTCCACTGCACACTCAGCTGCAGCAAAGAGGCTGAGCAGACCTCCACCTGATTTATTCAGGCCCGCTTCTCAGAAGTACGGAGGTCACCAGGCTGTTGGCGGGATGCCCCGCACAGAACCCCCGTCCGCTGCCTGCTGTGGAGACGCCGACAATGCAAACTCACCAGGCACCATCCCTGTCAGCGTAGGCGCTGAGTAGCTGCCCTGTCCGGTGGGGGGGACGTGCGGAGGGTACCCGGGGAGGGTTGTGCTCGCCAAGTCACGGCCTAAGGAATCAAAGCAACAAATCACAGGGTGAGTATCTCTGCAGCCAGCCACTCGTCCACAGCTCCCCTGACACGTCTGCACATTTGTCACATCCAGACACTGAACACCAATGTGCCCCCGCCCCACTGCTCCTGCGAGCCCACGCTCACACACACACTGCCAGCCCCGCCGGCTCCACTCACCACGAAGCAAACCAGGGCTCTGGCCTGAGACGAGCAGGTGGGACAGCAAAGGGCCTGGCACACACCGGGGCTCTCTACTCCCGAGCACGACTTGGACAGCTCCACCGCCACCAAGGCGTTTCTGCTGGGCACTCTGCAGTTACCTTCCTCCAGCCGCTCCTAACAGTGCTGCCTTCAGAGACCTGCCCCGCTGCCCCCTTACCCCCCTGACAGCATGCAGAGCGCAGGGGCCTCTCCGCGGCAGACCCTCCTGCTGCACAGCTGGCCCCTCGCTGAATCCTTCCTCCCTTGACCCAGAACTGTTCCTTTGTTTAGTGAAGAAGCAGGAAGCAGGAGGCTTCTCCCTCCCTCGCTCACCACCTCCCTGGCTTTGGACCAAGCATCCTGGCTCAGGTCCTCACTTGAGGCATTTTAGAGGGGTGCAAATGCCCCATGGTTTACCTCTGGGATCCCTCAGTTCCCCTACATGAACAGGATCCACTAGAGCTGCTCTCATCTCCTGAGAGCCAGGATTAAACAGGAAACCCAAGTTGGAAGAACTGACCGGGCTCACAAGGTGAGCTAAGGAAGTTTGCCATGACTGGCCCTCCTGGGCCATCTCATCTTGTGCCAGTTCAACACCTACAGCCATTGGTGGCAGCTCCTTCTGTCTAGGGGACAGGTCTTTGTACTCCAAGGCCAGAATGCCACAGGCCTAAAAGATTTGTTAAGTGAATGGAAAAAGTGGCCCTGCTAGAGAAGCAGGAGCTTTTGGGATTCCATAACCATTCCCTTTATCCATGCTCAGGAATCAGTGCAAAAAGTGCCAGAAGAGCTCTTGCCAACCTCAATCCATGTTGCCATTTTGCAGATGGGAAAATTGAGGCCTAACATAGAAGAGGAGAGCAATTGACTCAGGTGCCACAGAGACAAGTGGCAGAGAAGGTGCTTCGGTCCAAGTTTCCTAACATCAGCCGGACCCTCCTCTACCTTCAAAAGCACTAGGATAGTGTGGCAGGGGTCGGGGGCACTCATGTTCATGGCCTTCCTCAGGACAGCTGCAGGGACTTAAAGGTGTCTGAGGAAGCAGACTAAGCAGTCTGATCACTGTGAGATCTGAGATCTCAGTGGCCAGACTGGGAGACAGGGAGAAAGACAGCCAGTGGAGGGGCTGCTTGGATGAGCTGTTCCTTCACCAGTCTGGGGAGCATCTCCCACCCTGGCCCCATCCCCAGGCTTACATAGCTGATGATGACAATAACTATAAATTATGAGCACTTACATAGAATCATAGAACATCAGACTCTCACCTGAGTATTTTCAATGGTTAACTCCCTCAAACCTCAACAACCCTGTCAGGTGAGATGCTGATACTATTTTCTCTTTACAAGAAAATTAGACTTGTCCAAGACTGCACACTACCTGCCAAAGATTCAAAGCCAAGTCATCTAATGTCAAAGCCATGTGCTTTGCCGCTGCATTGTACTGCCTTGCGTGTGAAACTGTCTCTGCTCTGGCCGTGAGTCCAGAGGTTCCACTCCTCTCAGCAGGGACACTGTCATCACTACTTTTTGGCTCCATCTTGCAGAGAAAAACTCAACTGCAAGATTTTATGGGTGAGTGCATTGGGGTGGAGGCATTGAAGAAGGGGACACAGACCTGCCTGTTGAAAGCCGGAAGGCGTACCCTGAGGGAGCTGCCCATGCAGGGGCCACACGCTTCCCAGCTGCCCAGAAGGAGCAGATGCCCCGAGAGGGCAGGAAACCTGCCCGTGGGAGCTGATCTGATCTGAGGCCTGGCTGGGCTTGGCACCCAGTTCTCCTGCTTCCTGGCAACGGGTTCATCTTTCAGCAAGGGCTGCCCTTTGGGTCGTGTTTGGTCAACAGTTTCTGCTACTGTGACACAAGCCTTAAAACCTTGATCCCTCAAGCAAAGGTTCTGAAAATCAGAGCCTCACTGAAGCACTCAACTTAGAAAGCTAGATGAAAAAGCAATAAAATGAATCTAGGGAAGGGAAGAGGAAGGAATCAATAAAGAAAAAGCAAAAAATAAGGAATTAGGAAACAGAAAAACAGACAGAGAATAAGTACAAACAAGAATTGTTATTTGAAAAGACCAATAACACAGATAAACATAGATCAAGATTTTTTAAAAGGACCCAAATATCAAGATGAAGAATGAGAAGATATAAACGGAAATACTGTATAGATGAGACAATATAAAAGGAAGAAGAAAATATACTTCACACTAATAAATGTGGAAATCTCAATAAGAGGTGCAATTATCCGAGAAAATATAAGTTACCAAAAGTAACTCAAGAACAAGTTAAAAAAAAAAAAAAAAAAAACAGCCCAGAGCTGGACATGGTGGCACACCACATGCCTGTAATCCCACACTCAGGAGGCTGAGGTAGGGGGACCGCAGCAAATTCGAGGCCATCCTGGGTTACATAAGAGAGTTCAAAGTCAGCCTGGACTACATGATGAGACCCTGTCTTAAAAAATAAAAATAACAGCCCAATAACCTTGGAAGAAAGTGAAAAAAAAAAAAAAGCCTTTTAAAAAATAAATGCCTCATGCTTCTTGTTAAGTTTTTGATTATTTTTGTTTGGGGCAAGTCCTTTTAAATCTTTAAGGAACATATAGTCCTGTTATTAAACTTTTCTAGAATATGTAAGTCCAAGGAACTCTTCCTAATTGATTTCACCAAGCTAGCATAATCTTGATATATGATGCAAACCCAAATGCACACTCTTGTAAAAATTATCAAAAATGGATCAAAGACTTAAATGTAAGCACTAAAACTATAAAATTCTTAGAAAGGAAATAGGCATAAATATTCATGACTGGATTAGGCAATGGTTTCTTAGATATGACAAACAACAAAGAAAAAGAAATTGAACTTCATCAAAATTAAAAACTTTTGTGCTTCAAAGGACACCATTAAAAAAGTAAAACGATGACCCACAAAATAGGAAAAAATTATTTGCAAATCGTGTATCTGATAAAGAACTTGTATCTAGAATATACAAAGAACTCTTACAGCTTAATAATAAAAAAACTAATAAACCAATTTAAAATGAGCAAAGGATCAGAATAGGCATTTGTCTAAAGAAGAATAAATGAAATGGTCAGCAAGCACACGAAAAGATGTTCAATATCATCAGCCAATAGGGAAATACAAATCAAAACCACAGTGAAACATCGCCTCACACTCACTACAATGGTTACAATAAAAAAGACAGATTAGAAAAATCTTTGGCAAAGATGAGAAAAACTGGGACTCTTAATACATTGCCGGTGGAAATATAAGATTGTGCAGCCACTTTGGAAAAATCCAGTAGCTTCTCAAAAAGATGAAATGTAGAGTTATCACAGACCCAGCATTTTTACTCCGAGGTGTATCCAAGAGAAATGAGACAAATGTCCACACAAAATGTGATACTCCAATGTTCACGGCAGCTTTGTTCGTAACAGCCAAGAAGTCAAGACGACTGAAATATCTATCGTAAGTGGATAAAGAAAATACGGTATCTCCAAACAACAGAATATTCGCCAATACAAAGGAATACAATATGCTACAACGTGGATGAACTTGAAATGATTATGCTGAGTGAAAAAGCCAGTTGCACATAGCAACATATGCATGAATCTATTCATGTGAAATATCCAGAACAGGCGAATCTTCAGCAATAAAAAGTAGATTAGTAGTTGCCAGGGGCTCGGGGTAGGGAACAGTAGGGAGGGGGACTGCTAACGGGCGTGGGACCCTCTGAGATGTGTTACGAAGTATTCCAAAGTAACTGTGGCAGTAGCTGTACAAATGTGTGATTATACTAAACACCACTGAATTACCGGTACACTTGAGATGGGTGAGTACCGTACCAGGAAGCATATGCATTCCATTTCAATAATTCTACTATTTTAAAAATTGTTGTCTATTATCACCATCATCTTGAAAAAGAAATGGTAATTTCAAATCAAAAATATTGGCAGGGTATAACATTAAATATGTTTTTAAGCTAAATAAATTCATTTTTATAGGAAAAAGGATGCAATAAAAAACAATTGACACCTAACAAACCAAACCTCTTGACTGATAAAAACAGCACACAAGCACATCCAATGAGAGATGATGAATAACAAACTGGGAGAAATTATTTGCAGCATGTATCATAGATAAGGGATTACTATTCATGTATCAAGAACTTGTAAAAATTGAAGGGAAAAGACCAAAAAGAGTCCTGCAGAAAAATGGGCAAAGTACGTGAACATAAACCTCTGCTCTGTACATATACAGAGTCCACCAAAAATGTATGCACACTTCAGGAAAAGAGAAATACTATGATTTTTTTTTAACAGATGGTCCTACCCTCATATGGGGGACCCTAGAGGACATCATATATCACAGAAAACCCACTACTCTGCTAATCTGTTGAGAAGAAATTGAAAATACATGTGCAATAATCTCCATGACCAAGCAGTAGTTTGCCATACTAATAAACGTCTGGAAGCCAATGGCCACCACTTTGGGTGTCCCTTATAATTGCAGAGGCCAAAGACAACTTGTATTGATCTCATGATGTCTCAATAAATTTAGTGTTAAAATACATATACGTTTTTCTTTTCCTGAAATGTATATATATTTTTTGTATATACATTTTTGTGCTCTCTCTCTCTCTCAATGATTTGAAAAGATATTTAATTTCATTATATACTAGAAGTACAAATTAACACGGGAAGGGGAATTTGGAAGTATCTAATAAAACTACATGCATTTACCCCCTGAACAAGCAATCCTACTTCTACAGACTTATACCTGAAGATATACACCTTCAA